TATCGCCCGCGCGATGAGCATGCATAGATAGGAAAAAAAAGTGTTAATGAAAAAAAAAATACTTACAAAAAAATGTCTTTTTCATCCAGAATGTGGATGTATAATAGATTTGATTCTTCTAATCAAATCTCGAGTGAGTTTGCTGAATGATTACAACATTTTATGGCGTTTGCAACAAGTCAAACGTCGTACATTAAGAGTTCGAAGTTACCATGTCCGTGCTCAAAATGCGAGAATAAAAGATGGCGAAGTCAGTATGAAGTGTGTAAGCACCTTTATAGAAGAGGTTTTATGTCAAACTATTATGTTTGGTTGGCTCATGGAGAAACGTATGATACGTCGTCATAATTGGCACAAAAAAAGTATATTTTGGGAATTGCCATATTGGAGACATCACAAGCTGCGACACAATCTTGATGTCATGCATATCGAGAAGAACTTTTTCGATAACATCATAAACACGGTGTTGAATGTACCTCAAAAGTCGAAGGACAATCCAAACTCAAGGAAGGATATAAAATCAATTTGTTTGAGGAAGGAGTTGGAACTTACAGAAGATGGGAAGGCACCGGTTCCAGTTTTTCGTGTATATGGAGAAGCGCAGAAAAAAAATTTTCAGTGGTTGAAGGATGATGTGAAATTCCCCGATGGTTACTCTTCAAATCTGGCGCGATGTGTTGATATTGCAGGGAATAAATTAACGGGTATGAAAAGTCATGATTGTCATGTCTTTATGCAACGATTGCTTCCAATAGCATTTGCAGAACTACTTCCACAATATGTACATGAGAGTCTATCAGGTATGTCAATATATTTTTTTAATGTTGTTTTTTAATATGTGAACTATATATATATAAAGTTGATACGTGGTTATTGTGCAGGGATCAGCTCATTTTTTCGGGTGATTTGCAGTCGGACGCTTAAACTTGAAGATATCACCATGCTGAAACAAAACATAGTTCTCGTAATTTGCAATCTGGAAAAAATATTTCCACCGTCATTTTTTGATGTGATGGAACATTTACCAATCCATCTACCACGAGAAGCAGAACTTGGTGGACCAGTTCAATTTCGGTACGTTATAATTAATTACTGTGTTTCGTTTAATTAATATATAAGACATATATATGCATACTTGTTTACATATATAACTGATGATTGTTTAATTTTTTTTTAGGTGGATGTACCCGTTTGAAAGATTTATGTACCATTTGAAGAAAAAGGCAAAACAAAAAGCCTTTGTTGAAGGATCAATTGCTGAACAATATATCAATGAGGAAATATCATTCTTTACCTCAAATTATTTTGAAGATAATGTGGCAACAAAAAGCAGAAATATAAGAAAATCATCCCATTGCGATGATGGCCCTAGTTATCCGACGAATGCAAATATTCCCCATATATTTGACAGAAAAGGAAGATGTGGTGGTAAGGCCAGCGATGCCTACTTATCTGAAAAAGACTATCATGTGGTACATACTTTTGTATTGTTGAATTGCGAAGAAGTACTACCTTTTGAAAGGTTCGTTTATACATTTAATTATTTATGGCGTACAATTTTTTTACATTAATTCATTTACAAGTTTTTTTCATTTTATTTTGCAGGATTTTTGATGAACAAGTATACAACATGTATGGTGACGTAAATGACGAGGAATTGACCAAAATTAAAGAAAAAGGGTTTGCTACGTGGTTAAAAGAATATGTAAGAATTTTTCATCAAATTTCTTTTTTATACCCATTTTTAAGATCGATCAAGTATATATTGATATTTAAACAACCTATTTTTTCTTTGTTTTGCAGATTCGAACGTCACCAGAAGATCATCCATTGTGGTTGCATGAGCTAGTTCAAGGGCCCATTTGTCGTGTTACATGTTGGCCTATATTTTTTACCAGAGGCTACGTTTTCCACACACATGAACACGGACAACATCGTTCGACACATAATTTTGGTGTTTCTGTGAAAGGGTCAGAGTACTGTGCATCTGATAACGAACCCGATTTTTACGGACTACTGCAGCAGATTTTTGAACTCCAATATGCAGGTCATTTTGGACTCAAAGTGATGATGTTCAGATGTGATTGGTTTGATCCTACACCCATGAGAGGGATCAGAGTCAACAAAACAGGTGTTTTTGACATATGTTACACACGTCGATACGGAAAATATGATCCTTTTATATTGGCTTCTCAAGCAGATCAAGTGTGTTACATCCCTTATCCGAAGAAAATTACAAGAAGGTCAGACATTGATTGGCGAGCCGTCGTGAAGATCAACCCCAGAGGAACTATTATTCAAGAAGAAAATGATGAACAAATCCCGCTTCAAGATGTCGATCAAGTCATTATACAAATTGAAGACACGATTGAGGTTGGAAAGTTAATAGCCGAAGAAGGCGTAGTTGAAGAACTTGCAGACAATAATGACGAAGAGCAGGATAATACCGATGAGTCGGACGAAAAAACAACAGGAACTTCTGAATATGGTTCTTTTGATTAATAATAACTTTTTTTTTATGTATGAAATACCGATTTGTATTACAAATATTGTACTCGAAATCAAAATATTAGTTATCTTAAATTTTTTTCATTTTATTTTTTTTAATTATTACTTTATATTGCGACCGACGGTATCGGTCGCAATATTGTCGCAAAATGTCGGCAACAATGTCCACGTGTCTCCGCCTTTAACGACACAGCGACAGATTGCGACAGCAGTAATCAGTCGCAATGCCCACGTGTCTCCGCCTTTAATGACACAGCGACAGATTGCGACATAATTAATCAGTCGCAATGCCCACGTGTCTCCTCCTTTAATGACACAGCGACAGAGTGCGACAGATTAAATCGGTCGCAATGTTGTTAAAACCATCGCGATCGTCTTCTTCCTCAGACACTTAGCCATTTCGTCTTTCCTCCATTTTCGCCGTCGCCGTCGTCCCCCACCGCTCCCTTCGCCGCCGCTCCTTCGCCGCCGCCAGGTAAGTTTCCGAATTCGCGTCTCCCCTCTTCTTCCCCTTTTCGATCGGTTTAGTTTAGGTTCGTGGTTTTTTTTGCTTTCGAATCGAGGTCCCAAATTTTGCACCGCCGCCGCTCCTTCGCCGCCGCCGCTCCTCCGCCGCCGCCGCTCCTTCGCCGTCACCGAGGTAAGTTTCCAATTTTTGCAGACAGATTGATGTTCGTTTCGATTTTTAAGTGATTTTTGTTCGGATTTAGGGTTGTGGGCGAATTATTTTAGGGTTTAGAGTAAATTTTCGGGTTTAGGGTTTAATTTAGGGTTTATTTCGGTTTTAGGGTTTGTTTAGGGTTAATTTATTGTTTAGGGTTAATTTAGGGTTTAGGGTTTATTTAGGGTTTATTTCGGTTTTAGGGTTTGTTTAGGGTTAATTTAGGGTTTAGGGTTAATTTAGGGTTTATTTCGGTTTAGGGTTAATTTAGGGTTTAGGGTTAATTTAGGGTTTAGGGTTTATTTACGGTTTAGGGTTTGTTTAGGGTTAATTTAGGGTTTAGGGCTTGTTTAGGGTTTAGGGTTAATTTAGGGTTTAGGGTTTAGGGTTTGTTTAGGGTTTATTTAGAGTTTAGGGTTTGTTTAGGGTTTATTTACGGTTTAGGGTTTGTTTAGGGTTAATATAGGGTTTAGGGTTTATTTTGAGATTTAGGGTTTGTTTAGGGTTCATTTTAGGGTTTAGGGTGAATTTAGGATTTTAGGGTTTAGTTAGGGTTTACTGCTAGTTCACGGGTTTTCATGTTTTTGTTTTGTTATATGTAATTTGTAGATGAGTCACTCCCATTCTAGTGGTCGTAGTGGTAGCGGGGTACGATCCCGAGGACGTGGGATCGGATCATCTAGATCACCATCTGTCCATCGGGATCAGGTGGTAGTCGATCCTCCTCGACTTGATGTACACAAAAAGACTCAAAAAAGACACGACTCAATATATACACAAGCAAGATCTAGAATCGATAAAGACCTAGAAATAGGCTAACCAGTCCCCAGCAACGGCGCCAAAAACTTGATACGTGTGTACCGAGTCTAGAATTTATAACCCG